GAGTGGTGTGAGAGTAACCATTATTGTAGAAATTTGTTAATTGGAGAAAAAATAAGTGGGTATGGTGCCCTTCAGTTTGATTTGGGAGGGTGTCAAGAATTTGGCTACCGATCATGCACCAGTGGTGCCCATTTCACTATTTGTGGCTGTTCTCTGTCTTTGCTTGGTCATTGGTCACATGCTTGAAGAGAATCGATGGGTTAATGAATCCATTGTTGCCATTATAGTAGTAAGATGCATTATCTCTCCATTCTAGATTCATCATAATGCACTTAGGGTTCTTTTTTCTCCTTTATCAGCTATGCATGACCATCTCTTGATATGACAAGAATGGTTGAAAAGATTTCCTACACGGAATCAGATATTATATGATTAGTTTTATTATTTTCATGAAGAACAGTACTTGTTTTTTGGTTTTCCAGAAATAGTTCTAACTAGAAAGAGTTATTCTTCTCTCTTTTTTTTCTTTTTTTCTCTGCTGTTCCTTAACTGGGTGATTTTTTTCAGACAACCACTCAATACAAATACTTTTATGATAGTTTTGTAGGATTATCAAAAGAAATAAATGTTGAATACAGATAGTCATTAAGCCTTTGTGCATCTAAATTTCTCCTTGGTAGGGAATCATTGCTGGAATTATACTATTATTGGTCACCAAAGGAAAGAGTTCTCACATCCTTACATTTAATGAAGAACTATTCTTCATATATCTCCTTCCTCCCATAATATTCAATGCAGGGTAAGAGTTTATATTATGTAAGACTAACTCTTGTGGTTCAAAACTTTTTTTTTATGGCTTGAGTTAACCCTCTTAACAGATTTCAGGTGAAGAAGAAACAGTTCTTCCATAACTTTTTAACCATCATGTTGTTTGGTGTCATTGGTGTTTTTATTTCAACGTCTATTATTACTTGCGGTAATGAAAAATCTCATAGTTCTTCCTTGCCTTGTAGTTTACCACTATGAAAATTTGTCTGGAATAACTTTAAATCTTTGGTTCACCTAGGCAGCTGGTGGATATTCCCCAAGTTGAAGTTGCTTGGCCTGAGTGGACAAGATTATCTTGGTGAGGTCATTGCATCATCTCAATACTACACAGAAACACAGACTATATTTATAATGATCCATGTATTTAGATATATCGGATTTGCATGAAATCTAATTAGTTCATCTTAATTATGTTCAGCTATAGGAACAATTTTCTCATCAACGGACACAGTTTGTACACTGCAGGTTGGTTAGATTGGTAAATGGTTTACTTTTATCTTACTCTTTTCGCGTGTTTTTAATTGTCCAACTCTGAATTTGGAATCTATTATAGGTTCTCCATCAAGATGAAACTCCTCTACTATACAGCTTAGTCTTTGGGGAAGGAGTGGTAAATGATGCCACCTCAGTTGTTCTCTTCAATGCAGTGCAAAAGCTTGATGTTACAAGATTTAGCAGCAAGACATTCCAAGTTATTGGAGATTTCTTCTATCTATTCGTGTCAAGCACTGGTCTTGGAGTTCTAGTGAGTTTCATTAATGAAAAATTTTATGCAAAATTGGCCTAATAATTTTTTTCAGGTGTTATCATATGACTTTATGAATTTCTTTGAATTCTTTAGTCAGTTGTTGGTGTTTCTTTCACATGCATCTTATGTTACCTACTTGTTTCATATCATTTCTTTTAATAAATGCATATTATGCAGGCTGGCCTTCTCACATCATATATCTTGAAAGCCTTATGCTTTGGAAGGTATGAATCATTCTCCAAGAGTTCTCACGAAATAGGCTTTTCAAGTGAAATTTTGAGTACATGTTTACAAGTTTGCCTCTGTATATGCATGCAGACATTCAAGTATTCGAGAAATTGCATTGATGTTGTTAATGGCATACCTGTCCTACATGTTGGCAGAGGTATTGGAATCTAGAAATTTTCTGCTTGATTTGACATTAGTTGCAAGCTATAGAACTAAATGCGTTTGGGTTCAGTCAGCATTTAGGTAGCTAAGTTTATGGAGCTTTGGGCTTTTTTATAAAGGTTTCTTTACTTCCTCTTCATTCTTCTTGTGACTTTCTCTCGTTATTTGATACTTTGAGATGGAAGAATGGAGATATGGCAGCAGGGGTCTGGTTGGCTAACCTCGCCTTAAGTTTTACATCAATCCAATTTAGTGTAAAACTAGCCATATGATTTTAACCTAAGCCTTCTATGTTTGGACAATCTATTTTTGTCTACAAATGAACTAAACTACAAGTCTAAAAATAACTTCCTTTTTTTGTTTTGGTCATCCTTCTTAATTTCAAATTCTTTCAGCTATTTGATCTAAGTGGAATCCTCACTGTTTTCTTTTCTGGAATACTAATGTCACATTATGCATGGTATAATGTGACTGAAACTTCAAGAATCACAACCAGGTATGGATTAATCTATCAAAGATTTCAGTCATTTTCAGATTAAACGGTCTTAGGTTCCTGAATTGTTTCCCTTCTCCAGAAATGTGTTTGCGACAATGTCATTTATTGCAGAAACCTTCATATTTCTATATGTGGGCATGGACGCCCTAGACATTGAGAAGTGGAAGATGACTCAATTAAGGTCCTGATCCTTTCTACTACACTAAACAATTGTATTTTATCCAGACTTCAGTAGGGACTAATGCATCACACTGATGGCATGTATTGATGGTCTAATTCATGTTCTTGTGTAGCACATTTAGTAGTTACCGATTGCTTAGTGTCACTACCTACATAGATAAGTTAATGGGATTTCAGCAACTGTTTCAACATTCTCCGAATAGTTATCAGATTGTGATACAATTGGGTATGATCAAGAGAACATTATCTTTAGTGATAAAGTATGATCTTCTTCTAATTGTGAAACATTCGGTAATAATTGGATTATGAATAAAACCAAATGTTGACTACCTTATTTTCTGCTGCTTGAAATTGTTTTCTAGATGACACACTAGATCATAAGTATTTGTTATTTTGCAATATCTGTGTTCCTAGAATTTTTCTTAAGAATAATTTGCGAGATATCTTGCAACATATATCACATTAGTATAAAAAGCCTTATTTCTTCTAATAAAGATTTTCTTGTCAACTAATTCACTGCAGTTTTGGAAATTTGCTGGGGATATACAGTTCCTTAATCCTATTGATATTGCTTGGGCGCGCAGCATTTGTGTTCCCTCTCTCTGCTCTTGCCAATTATACGAACACACGTGCTGCTTCTGACCAAGCATCAAGCATCACTTTCAAACATCAGGTTGCTAAACATGTTTTGTATGATAATCTCATATTAACAGTTTATTGAGAAAATATCTGTGATTATTTATTGGCTTCTTAAGTTTAATAAATCGTCCAGATAATCATTTGGTGGGCTGGACTAATAAGGGGAGCTGTCTCTATTGCTCTGGCTTTCAAACAGGTATATATGCATGAAATTCAAAGCTCAACACTAATTCATCAAATAAACGACTGTTAATCAGAAGACTATCAGTTTGTCATTCATCTTTTGTTGGATAATCATATCGGCGTTCCAACATTGCATTATTGACAATTGTGATATGTATGGAGATTCCTTGAGCAGTCATGAAACAACCAATACACTAATACCTTAAGAAGCTGGTGCCATTGATTTCTCTTTTTATTTATGCAGTTTACATATTCTGGAGTTACTTCTGATCCAGTTAATGCAACAATGATTACCAACACCATTATTGTTGTCCTTTTCAGCACACTGGTGCGTTGATGCATTCCCTATGTCCTCAAAGTAACAAATAACAACTTAGAATAGTTCAGGTGGAGATAAAAATATTAATTCCCAACTGTTTTCTTCAAATAAAGAGAAATAAACTCTTGCATCTGCTGTCATCCAGCTTTGATTACATGCTCCTTGTTCATTCTTATAAGTTGGTCTAACCTTTAAGTAATTGATATAGCTCCAATATCATTGCAGGTGTTTGGTTTTTTCACAAAACCACTAATCAGATATCTGCTACCCCACACGGCTACAAGGAAAAACATCATCCATGAAGAGTCAGGTCCACCAGTTGAGGACTTAAATCTACCTTTGCTATCTCTTGATGAGTCAGCAGCAACCAACATCAGCCGCGCAAAGGAAAGTTTATCCATGTTATTAGAAAGTCCTGTCTTCACCATACATCACTATTGGAGGAGGTTCGATGATGCTTACATGAGACCCTTTTTTGGGGGACCTCATCATAATGGGTCAGAGTGCTAGCAGTATTCCAAATCATTGATATCTCGGTGCACTTGAATGTAGGAGCACAAATGATGATCCATCTGAATCCATTTTTTTGAAGATGAGTGGCTGCAATGAGGAATATAGTAAGTAATAAGGAACCGGCTGTCTTTGGATTATCACACAAGAGTGTGAGCATCCTTGAAGCTTTAAAGAAGTGCATATTTTCCTTTGGACATGAATGTTGTGGTATGTCAGCAGAGGCAGACTTTTGAATTAATGCATCCTGCTGACTAAAGTAGTTTTATTAAGTTCGTGAGCAAGTGATTTTGTGCATTGTCTTGTTTTGGATTGTTGCCTTTGTTAGTGCATTCAAATCATTCAAATACTTATATTCTAATCCATTTATTTATTTGTGCATTAAATTCAGAAGAAAAAAAAAAAGAGACACAAGCATTTTATTCGGCTACATATTGAAGTCGCATGATACATGGCTTGATATTTTGAGTAGTAGCGCATCAAACACCATTGTAGACTAGATAGGAGACTGATACATCATACACCTCGCAAACATGCGAGGAAAAGACAGATTGAAAATAAACTACTCATTTATTTGAGGGGCTCAAAATGCCAATTTAAAAGCTTCTCCAATATTAGTACAGCACAGGAAAGCAAATTAAAGTCTGAAAGGGTGCTCAAATGGCTGTGACTCTCGAGAATTTCTTCAAACCACTGCATAATAAAGAAGACTTAGTCAATAAACACTGCCTAGTCAGTCTAAGTTGTATTTATGTTAATAAAACGTTCTACTCAGCCAGAAGACTATTACCTCTACATTCAGGTGGTGTTTTCAGACCACATTTACTGGGCAAGGCCAAAGCATTGGTGGGGTTCAATCCAAATGCAGGTAGCATAGACTTGTATCCGCAAAGGCAAGGCAAATTGGAATGCCTAACAACATCACAGCATTTTTCAGTTGGTTTTGGAGGGTATATCCCAGTAAGTGCTGCATAGCATGAGCTTAGCTTACTTGAATCTGTGTCACATATAGCAATAGCTTTGGCACCACCTAACATGGCAATGAGCAAGGTTGCTACTAGCCACTGCACCAAAACAAAGCCACTAGTATGTGTCATATTCTCCTTAACCAAGTTACCAAGCAGCTAGGTCTAATCTACACTTGTGGTTTTGCCTTAATGTTAATTTATATAAACTGCAGTTTGGAGTGTTGATGGATTAATATTTTGTATTGGTTTCACATACTTTTAGGTGTGTCATGTGAATCCACTCTTTAGATGAGATATTCTCGAGATTGGTTTATTTTAGAATTAAAGATTTGATCTTAACCACAACCTAACATAGACTGGTCCATTACTTACACTTGGGAAAAAAAGAAAGACAAAAGAGAGCCCTGTTGCAATGAGGATTGAATCTGCTCCTGCATGAATTTGCACTGAACCTTATTTGGCTGTTTTCTATGTCTAAAATAGATGTTAGTTAAAGAAGTAAAAAAAATCTTAAAATAGTCTTTCACATAATACACGACACAGTATTTGTATATTGTTCTTTCATGTTATTTCTTGCAAGAGATTAAGATTCTTTTGCTCTCGTATCTAATAAAATTCAATTAACTTTATTATTGTTAATATATCAAGTAAAAGTGTGTGTTAAATATGGAGATAAGTCTACTTGGAAATGACTGGTTTCAAAACATTGAGAAGCAAGTTTTTAATTCCTAAAAAGAGGTGTTTTTATTTAAAAATAATATATGTTAAATTATAAATTAAAGAATGAAATTAACGTATATTCTTTCGAAAAATAAAAGTATCTATTACGATTTTATTATTAAGAATATTTTGGTAGGTTAAAGAAAAAATATTTTAAAATAATTTTTAATCTTTATTTTTAAATAATGTGAGATTTTTAAGTGTATGTTAAAATATTTTGTTTCTACAGACAGAAAATTTTGAATTATTTATAAAAGAAAAAACATGAGACAAACCAGAAAAAATGTAAATTAAAAGTGGAAAGTTGATGTTCACATATTTATGTCTTAATTGGATCCATGGGTACGGAATAGTAGAAAATGTAACTGTCTTTTTAAGTATTGGAAACAAAATTTTATTGTTCGTTGATCATATCTTCTTTAAATAGATTTGCATAAATATACTTACGATTTTATACAATATATATAAATATACATACCTTTCTTCAAGATTTTTTTTATGGCTATGATTTTCCCGTAACAAAAGTGGGAAATCCTGAAATGGCAATTTAAAATCAAACCCACCTAATTTATTGTTAGTTCCCTTGTTTTAGAAAAAAGTATTTTTAATAGAATAATGAATAGATTAAGTAGTTTAAGCTCTCTTTTTTTTTTAATCTAAACTTGATTAGTAGACGATTTCTCCTTTTAATCACATTTTTTATTTATAAAATTTGAATTTTTTTACATCATTCTTCAATTTTGATGAGATTGTAATTGAAACTTGTAATTAAAAAGTCAGAGTCTTATCTGTTAAAATAGACATATATACTCTAATTTTACAAAAGAAAAAAATAATTTTATTGATCAAAGCATTACATAAAGGTCTCGTGATAAGCCAACATAGTGGAACATCACGCTATCAGTTTTCATAATTTTCAGAGTTTTGCACACACTTTCTTTGGTAAACAAACCATCTTAATGGTCTTCAACTTCTCGACTTCCACTCCAACCTTCAAGGTGTTTCCTATGACCCTTGCATTGAACACCCCTTCACCATGATTTGGCAACAATACCAGCTGACACTTGTTCACCAGTGCCTCAGACAAAGACCCTGAGTACCCACAAACGGTAACAAAGCACCCCACAGAAGGGTGCTCCAAAATGAACTGGTGAGGAACAGATCCACCACTCACAACCCCTCTTCCTTGAACTCTCTCTTTAAAACCTTTTGGAAGTGCTGATTCCACACACTCAAAACCCTTAGGGGGTCTAAGTGATGCCACAAAAGGCATGCCTGATAGTTCAAGCCCCAATAGCAGTTCCTGAAACTGACATGGTTTTAAAGTGCACTCACTACCAATTGAACAATAAGCCACAGAGCCAGTTCCAAAATTTCCAAGCCAGTTAGCCCAATTTTTCTCAGAATGGCATGTTGTTTCCTTTGGGATAATAACATGTTCTTGAAGCGACACATGCCTCCTATGATAATCAACATAAGCTCCTTCAATCACTCTACAACCTTTGAGTCCGGTTGCATAAGATTGAGTTAGAGTACTATTAGTACAACGTTCAATGCAAACAATGCCTTTACCATGATCAACTCTTCCTGATCCAGCAAGGAGTTTTGGTTCGTGCAAGAGGTGATGGTGTTCAGTTATGTTGCAGTAGTACCCTTCAGATATCCCTGAAGGGTATAAATATGATAATTCACAAGTCAATGATGAAGGGCTTATAACATAATAAACTAAAGACTTAATGCCTAAGCACCGAGTTAAACGTGGTTTTGGCACCCAATACGCATGATCAAAGAGCACAATGTTTGGTTTTAGCTCAAGGAGGTGAACTTCAATGTCCTTCTCATATAGGACCATTGGAGTCATCAAAAGTGAGACAGTGGAAGAAGGAACTTCTGATGTGGCTTCAGCAACATGGGGAAGGCCATGATGATCATTGTGAGGAACACAGATTGGGATAAGGGAGATGAGACTAGGGTGTTGATTGAGGTGTTGGAAGATTGCATGTGTGTGTTTTGGGATGAAGAGAGAGATTGAGTGTCCTCTTTCGGCAAGGTTGTTGGAGAGTTGAAGAAATGATGAGATATGTCTCGTTGCAAACCATGGGAGAATTGCCATGTGCAAAGAAGGTGAACAAGCCATAATGGCCAAAAGTTGAAGTTAAAAGAGACAAGAAAATCCAAGAGGGAGTGATAAAGGGTGATAAAGGGTGTGTAAGATGTGACAATCAACTTGCTTGCAACACAATTTATAGGAAAAAGTTCATGGAAAGCATGGTGATAAGTCACACTTTTGTTCTTTTAACATAGAGAAAAGAAATAAAAATAATAAAATGAAAAGTGAAATAAGAGTAAATTAGAAAAAAAATTAAAATCAACAAATTTTTATTGATGAAAAATAATAAATATTATTACAGTTATTATTATTTATTTTTTTTACTCTATTTTTACTCGATATTTTCAACCACATGATAGAGGAGACCTTAAATTTAATGAACTAATAATAGAAGAGAGATGAAAAATTAAAGTATCACAGGAATTGGTGAAAGTAGTTGAAAAGTAATGGTACCCTATATTTATTGTTTATAGCCTCGTAGAAGAGTTTTACAGCTAGCCACGTAAAAGCGTGTGGACCTCACAAATGTCGCACAAATTACGTTAAAAATTGATATTGTGTTTGTTTATTATTACGTTGGACTAATTGTGTTTTTTACCTATTTTTTGTTATTTAATATGTAATTTTTTTTTAAATATTTTCGAAAATAAAAGAGAATAGTTTTTATTTACACAATATATATTTTTTTTAATATGTCATGTCATGTTGCACGCATTCCACCATCGAATTATCCCATCCATCCAATTTTCTTAAAATATTGATGGAAAGAGTACAGTGGTAGACATGTTCGTCGTGTTGACCCGTATATAAATCATATTTTTAAAGTCTGGATAAATTTTATTAGATTAATCAGTTAATACATAATCTATTTTAAAATTTAAATATAAAATTTAAAATAAAATATACATTTTTAAAATTTAAGTTATATTAATAAATTTAATTTTAATTTTATATATAATAATTTATATATAAATTTATATATATATATATATATATATATATATATAATTTCACATAGACTAAAAATTTCATAACTTTATTCTCTACGTTTCAAACTATATAATATTTTATCTAAATAAATTGTTTTAAATATATGACATTTTTAAAGTTTATGACGATATTAATTACTATTTTACTCATTATATTTTTGTCCTTCAATTATATTTATTGTATAGAGCAGAGATAATAAGTTATTTAAAATGTATTTTTATTAGAGGGGTATTAATAAAATTTATTAAAAGTATTTTGGTTGGAGAGAATATTAATGGAAAAAAATTAATAAATTGTTTAAAATATTAAAAATTAATGTTTATATTGATTTATATTTTAAAATAGAATATATATATATATATATATATATATATATATATATATATATATCATCTGGTTTTCTAGAATTAAATTAGGTATTATCAAGTATAATAATATTAAAATATTATTTATTATCAATTAGAATAAACCCATCGATTGAATTAGATATAGTATTTTTAAGATATATATTAATAATATTAAATTAATTTTAAAAAATATAATTATTATTTTATAAGATAGTATAAGATTTTAAATTAAATAGTTTATAGACATATATAAAACAAATAAACAAAATTTAATTTAATTTAACCTCCCTCATTTTAATAGATGTTAACGATGAGTGTATAAATTAATTCATAAATATATATATATATATATATATATATATATATATATATATATATATATAATTTTAATAGGTGGTGAGAGTATATAAAAAAAAATAATCCAAGTTAGGTTAGATTAAAAAATTTTATGATCTAAATTAAATTAGACATATTTTTGTCTCACTCAAGTTAATATGGAGACTTACGGATTAGCCTATTTTATAAAGTAATAATTTTTAAAATAAAATATAATAATAATATTTTTTGATAATATATATATATATATATATATATATTATAAATTAATTTGAGAAAAGATTCCTGATTAAGAATAAATATAAGATAAAATTTCTAATAACCACTTATTTTACTATATAACAAGTAAGATAAATTGTTATTTTAAATCAATATATCACTAAAAGAAAGAATGATTAATAATAATTAATAATAATTTTTAACTCTTATTTTCTTTTATTAAATAGATATCTTCTCTAATAATTTATATATTAAATTATTATATTTAAAATAAAAATTAATTTCATTCCTATAATTTAAATTTTTAAATATATTTTTATTTTTTATTTAAATATATTGTTTTATTAATTTTTTATACGTTAATAATATTTTTATTTTCAATTAGATCAAAATTGATCAAAATTGGTTAGTTAAACCCTTAGCCAAAATTTATGACAAATTTAAAAATATATATCATGTGAGCTATCAAATTTTCTCTTCATATCATGTTAGACTAGACCGCCTAATTTAATTATTGTACTAATTTTTATATCAATGCATAAATCAATTGAAAAAAAATATCAATAACTAATATTGATTGAGTACAAAAGTATCAATATATAAATCAATTGAAAATAACAAAAAAAAAAAAATATATATATATATATATATATATATATAAATGATGAATATATTATAATTGAAAAACATAGAATTTATTCTATATTTTATTCATATTAATTTTGTACACATATACTATGATTTTATAGTATTTTACTCTAACAAATCAGAACTAAATATAAGAAGTTCTGATTATACAATATTTTGTATCGTTATACAAACCTATAATTTAGCTAATCAAATATCTTTATCCCAACACTCCCCCTCAAGTTGGTAAATGGATGTCATACATTCCCAACTTGTCCAATAATCTCCTAAAAATCGACTTGTCACAACTTTGTAAGAATGTCTCGCTAACTGATCTTCAGATCGAATATTTGGCAATTCCAAAATATTTTTATTAAGTTTTTCCTTGATGAAAAATCTATCA